AAAAAAAAAAAAAAATCATAACTCTAGAGCCAGACCCTGCTTCTTACAGCTACAAGACTATGGCCTTTGGGCATTTACTTGTCTGTCAAATGGGTTCCTGAGAGAGCTGATTCTCCTAAGGTTGAGCTAAGATAATGCCCTTAGAGTGGAATGTGGGTGTGTAGAAAGCCAACGGTGCTGCTGCTGCTGTCCTAAATCCCACTATAAAAAGTTGGGGCACCCCTGACCACACATGGTATTTCAGGGTCCAAGGATCAAACTTATAGATTCTCTTTGTCCTTGGCTCAACTCAGTGACAAAATTCAGATTGAGGTGGTGACACACACCTGTAACCCCAGCACTATGGGAAGCTGAGGCAAGAGGATTGCACTTTGAGTCCAGCCTGGGCAACTTAGTCACTTAATGAGCCCTTATCTCAAAATAAAGGCACTAGGATGGCCCTGGATTCAATCCCCAGTATTAAAAAGAAAAGAGAAAAAAAAAAAAAAAAGATCCACAGTGCAGGAGAGTTCTGACAGGGAAGATGTAATTTGACCCAGTAAGGAGGTAATTTGACAATAAGAGACATTTGACCCAGTTGTCTTCAAGGACAACTTCCTCAATTTTCAGATCATCTTCAGAACCACTGCCTGGTGACCCCATGTTTCCATATTCCTCAGGGAGACCTGACATCAACATTCATTCATTCATTCATTTCATTCAGCAAACATCTACTGAGGGCCCAAGCCCTGGTCTAGGTACTAGGAATGCAACAATGAACAATAAATCTCCATGAAGTTTTGTTATGTCAGGAGGCCCTGGCTTCTGTCTGCATTTTATTGCAGGAACCCAAGAGTCCCCTGGATCCTATCTTCCCTTCTCCTTCCCCTAGTCCCCTGTTCTCTCCTAGGAGCCAGAGGGCCTGTGCCTGCTCACACTGGACATCCAGCTCCGCACCCTGGCCGCTCTGTCCGTGGCCATAAATGTTCTCTGCTGAGCAGGAATAATTCCCAGCATTCTCAAGGTGAACTTTGGAAATGTGGACTTTCTCTTCTGTCTCTCCCAGCATTTCGTTCCCATTGTGGTGCCAGGTGTAATGTTCGGCCAGAGGATTGGCCAGTGAGACACAAAGCAGCTCTACTGATTCTCCCTCAGTGGCGGGTGACGGGTGGATATGAACCGTGGAAGGTTCTGGTGCATCTGGAAGAAGGGGCAGAGGCAAATGGGGAAGTAAGGACAGCACTCTGTGGAGCAGCCGTGGCAGCCCTTGCTGTGGCCTCTCGCGGGCCCCGCTAACCTCCCCTGCCAGGTCCAAGGAGGCTCACACCGCACTTGGAGCTTCACTTCTTTTGACTTCCCCAGGCCCACGGCGTTGGAGGCCTGACAGAGATAAGTCCCTGCTGATTCCCTGGTCACTTTGGGCAGAATTAGTGTGGGCTGCTGCTCCTGCATGGGGACGCCATCCTTGAGCCAGGACATAGTCTCGTGCTCGTGCTCTGGGTTGCTGCTGGTGACCTTGCATGTCATGTTCACAGACTCCCCCTTCATGACAGTGGCTTCTCTGGGATAGACTTCAATGTTCAACTTCGGAGAGTCTGCAGGAACAGAGGGGCAGTCGGGGAGAGAACGGGGCTCTCCCGGGGTGGGAAGTGGCGAGCAGTGGCCGTGCTCTAATTCTGATAAAGCAGTGGCCTGAAGCTGTGGTTCTCTTGTCAACCCAGGGGACTGTCGCAGCCTCCACTCATCTCTCTGCTTTTCCCTTTTCCCTGTCCCCTACCATCCGGTCTCTACCAGCAGCCAGCAGGATTCCTAACACTGTCCATCAGGTATCACTCCCTGCTTGAAGCCACCCAATAGATTCCACACAGGACTGAAATCCAAAGCCCTTCCTGCAGCTCAGGAGACCTAATGTCCTGCCTCCTCCATCTCCTCTCCTACCCTGTGATCCTCAAAGGCAGTGAACTCCAACCCCTCTGACCATTAGGCCACATCGCTGACATCCAAGCCCCCTCCTCATGTCTTACTATTTGTGCTTTTTTTAGTACTAGGGTTGAACCCAGGGCTGTACACTGAACTACTTCTCCCACCCTTCAAAAAAAAAATTTTTTTTTTTAAAGTTTTGAAACAAGATTTGGTTAAATTGCTAAGTTCCCAAGCTTGGCTTGAAAGAACAATCCCCCTGCCTCAGCCTCCCAGATTGCTGGGATTACAGGCGAATACTTGATTTTTTTCTCTCCCTGAAATGCTCTTCTGACCTAGTCTTTCCCATCTTTCAATCAGCCTAAGCACTTGCCTTCTTCAGAAAAGTTTCCATCCATCACCCTCACCCTGCTGTATATTTTTCTCAATATGCATGCCATTGGTTGTGGTTTTACTAGAGTATTTCTCTGTGAATCTTCCTGCAGCTCAGAAGACCTAATGTCCTGCATCCTCCATCTCCTCTCCTACTGTATGACCCTCAAAGGCAGTGAACTTCAACCTCTCTGGCCTTTTGGCCATCTTGCTGACAGCCAAACCCCCTCCTCAAGCCTTAGTATTTGTGCTTTTTTTGTTCTACTAGCTCTACTCTTCTCCCAGCTGGCAGCCACAGGAAGTTCTGGTGCCTGGTAAATCAGCAGTAAATATTTATTGAATGAAAATGAATGAATGAGTTATGAAAAATATCTCCTTTAGGAGGAACAAAGAAATCTGAGTGGATGATCCCCCAAGCATGCTGTGGCTGAAGAAGAGACTGCTTCATTCTGCTGGGCCAAAGCAGAGACAAAATGAATTTGTATCCTCAATGCCAGGGCTGACAAAGGGTACAGGGGACGAGACTGGGTCAGTCCCTTTGGTGACCAACCACAGGCTGATCTTGCACCCCTCTCCTCTTACTCTTGGTGGGGCCCAGTGAGTGGCTGGGGAGAAGGTAACAAGGACAGAATCCTTCCCAGGGGAAGATAGAGAAACTCATCAGGGAGACTCACACTTCACATCCAGCTGCACCATATTCTTAGAGAGCACTGTGGAAGAATGCAGGACCTCGCATCTTAGGGTCTTCCCATGGTGAGTCCACTGGGGCTGGAACTGGAGCTTGCTCACGGTGGAGATTTTCTCAGTGGAAAGGGTGGTGGAGATGTCAGTGGAACGGAAGGTATGGTGGGGCTCCTCCAGGGACCAACGCAACTGGATGTCGTACTGAAAGCAGGCAAAATCCAGCAAGCAGGTGGCAGTGACTGACTCATCCTCCTGCATTCTTGAAGAGGAGAGCCCGATCTGAGGTGGAGGAGTGGTTTCTGCAAAAGAGCCGGGAGATGCTGGGGGCTTGGGAAGTTAGGGACCCATGGACACACTAGTTGTTCACCGTTAGTGCACCTGCCTCAAACAATCCTTGTAGGAATACCTTGCCAGCTCATCCACCTCCTTGTCAGCCTAAAATATGCTCTGGGAACCCCTGGAGATACTAAGTGTCTCTGCGGAAGTTTACTTTAGTTTCATTTCCTGATGATTGCTTTTTTTTTTTTTTTTCCAGAACCGGGGATTGAATTCAGACCCTTGGCGCTTGCCAGGGAAGCACTTAATTCCACTGAGCCATCTCCCTGGCCCCCTGATGATTACTTTCTCCATGGTTTCAAGATCATTCTTCCCACCACTCTGAATTTGGTCCATTTAGTTCAACATGCATTTCTTAGCTTTGATAACACACTCATACTTGTGTGATGGCCTCAGTTTTGGAAACCCTCAAACACAGCTTCCCTTTAGTAGGGTGGTGCGCTGTGCAGCTTGCTTGCCCCGGGCTGGATCACCCTTCAGACGGCAGGACTGAGGCAGAATCTTTCACCAAACACAGGGTTGCTTATCACTGACAACTGGACAAACAGGCCATGAGGTAGAGTGACCACATGCTATAGTGCCTAAGCCCCTGGCCCTACCTGATAGTTCATCTCCCTGCCCCGGAGTCATCTAGCATTGAGGGGCTGATCAGAATTGGCCAACTACACTAATACATATGAGGAGTTTGCTTAAAAATCTGGGTCTCTATCCTTTCTTGAAAGATCAAAAGATCTCACAAGCTGGAACCCAGATTCCAGAATGGGCAGAAGATGAGAGCCAATGAGGCACCTGAGGTGGGCCAAGTGCTCTGGCCACAGATGACCACAGCCCCATCTTGTGCTGCCCATGTCACTTGCATCCCAGCCTGACCTCTGCAAAAACTCAGTTTGTGACCCCTGTCCCAGGAGTCGGGTGTTTCCCACCTCCCGCCTTGCCCTCTGCTAAATCAGAGCATCCCTGTCCCAAGGTCTTACTGGAGACATTGAGGAACACATAATTCATCCATCTGTCTGCCTCTTCATCTTTTTCCTCTTTGTCTTTTTTCCACGTCACCCTCATCCCCAGCTTGCCACTGTCACGGACGAACACTGGGTTGATGCTCAGGGTACAATTATTTTCTGTCTTTTTCACCCTCTGATCTTGAGAAAAGATCTCCTCTGTCCCTGTCTTCTTATAGAGAAGAGTCCCATTGAAGACTTTGGCCTCATCGATGTACACAGGATTGTGGTACAGTGTGAAGTTATCCAGGAGCTCCTTATTTTGTTTGTTTTTGAATGTGCAGGGAATCCAGACGCAAGCCCCCTCCCAGGCGTAGATAGTTTTGGGGTGTTTAAATGTCCATTCAATAGAATCGCAGAAGGCCAAGTACGCTGAAACCCATAACAATGATCAGAAAGTGTTACTGAGGGGCTGTGGAAAGTTTTCAAAAGAATGAGAGACCCTCTGTGCACACAGGGGCGGATGCCGTACATGGGAAGAATGAGACAGGGCAGACAGCACGACTCTTTCTCTCCGTGTGCACGCTGCCTTCCCGTCACTGCACTCCACTCCTCTGGCCCAGATCTGCCCTCCTTCTCCTGTGCCCTCTGACACTCCAGAACCCAGATACCTGCCTGGCCACAGGAGCAGCAGGAGCCCGGAGCCCAGGAGATGCATGGCGTCCCGTCTGGCAGGAGTCTGAGCGGGAAAGAGTTTGTCTTTCAGCCATCTGGTTATTGACTTCTCGCCCACACACGGAGCTCTGGCCCCTTTCTCCTGACCTTGGGGCTACATCTGGTTGCATTGTGGGGTGTACAACTGGGGATCCCTTTGCTGGGTTGGTGAGCTTGTCCTTCAGGGCAAGAGCTTACTTCCGCTTGGTTCCTTCCTCTCTCTTCCTCCCATCCATTCACTCATTCACCTGTTCTTGTCTGAACTTCCTGCCCAACCCTCAGACTGCCCAGCCCATGCACTGGGCAACAGGGATCTTTCCTAGAGGCCACTCGTGGGGGGGTTTACAAAGAACAGAGTCATGATCAAAATGAGGTTAAAAAAATCATTCTAAAACCATTCATGACAGAAGAAACCAGGAGAACATTTAGAGGGAAAGGGAAGCTCTTAGGCCAAGGGATCCACACAGGTGCCCCAGGGACTGGGTAGAAACATCAGTCATCAAGACGAAAGTCCTGTCTAGTCTCCAGGTGGGAGCTATCTCAGTTCAGCCAGCGACAGCCAAGTCAGAATAGGGGCTTAGGGGCCGGGGAGATGGCTCAGTGGAATAAGCGCTTCCCTAGCAAGCGCAAGGGTCTGAGTTCAATCCCTGGTTCCGCCAAAAAAAAAAAAAAAAAAAAAAAGGGGCTCAGTGCTGTCTGAACTTCTGCTGCTCTCAGGAGAAGAAACTGGATTTTCATGGGATACCCCTGCCTTGAAAACAATACACACCAGGTATGATCACGAGGTGTGATGACTGCTGCGCACCTACCACTTCACCACTCTCAGAGGCTGAGAAGCAGGAAGACTGTGAGTTCGAGCTCAGCCCAGACAGCTTAGCAACTTAGCCAGAATTTCTCTCAAAATAAAAAATAGCTGAGGATGTAACACAGAATGCATGTTCTGGGTTCAACCCCAAGGCCAGGAAGTGGGCAGAGTACCAGTCAATAGGACTTATTTGTGGACTGAAGGCAGCCGTGGGGCCACCAATTTGCAAAAGATGCTCTCTCTCTGTCTGTGTCTCTGTCTCTCTCTCTTTTTAACAAGCTTACACTTCTACACAGAGTTACATTTACATAGAGCTAAATTTAAGTCCCTTTTTATATGGTTGTCACCTCTGAGCTGGCCCCCAGAGAGCCCGGACAGGATGTGCTCACAGAGTGTGTCTCCGGTGTCAGCACAGACCCGTGTTCTTTCCACCCACCTCACCAACATTTCCCACATCAGCATCGCATCAGTGACCCCCTCTGGCTGCTTGTCTCCCTGGGCTGCAGGCTACACGCTGAGGGCTATTGGCTGTCTGGTACCAGCTGTGAGGAAAGCTAAGCTGCTGGCTGAAAGCACGAGGGGGCTCTGTCCCCAGTGTTAGGGACGGACCTGTCCTGAACATGGGTTAGGATGTGCGGGATGAAGCCAGGTGAGATACTCCCAGGCAGAACTCTCCTCAGGTCTGCAGGTGCTAACAATGTTTCACACACAAAAGAAAAGTCATCAAAATCACTTGGGGAAAGCTGCATTAAAAAGTTAAGCAAGATTCGTTTCCAAAAGACTTTTCAAACCTTGAAAAAGCTCTATATCAGTGATGGTGATCCTATGACACGCATGTCATAACACGCATGTTTGTGTCATTGAAAGCTCTAAAAGGTTCACCATCGCTGCTCCATATGCATCATCAATCTCCAAACACGAGAGCTGGAGTGTAGTACACTGCCCACCCGTCTTTGTCCATGAGCTCTGTATTACCTTATCTGCCAAAAGCTTTGCAAGATTGCAGGGCCAGATCTTTACCAGAGGGGGCAATTCCGGAGAAGGCCTGCATGCCTAACCAGCATGGGCAGGCTCTGAAGCATAAGAGAAGGGAGCCATGTGCTTCCTTGGGCAGCATATACACTAGAAAAGGGGAAACATGCCTGAGAAGCAGAGAGCTGAGGAGGCAGCTGGGGATGGAAGCCCGAACCATTAGGCACAAAGCTCAAAGCCAGGGCATGTTGTCTAGATCTGTGCTCTGCCCACTGCAGGCCTTGCCAGGCCTGTGAGCCAGCTTCCTGGATGCCACTCTTCACTCCTAGGCACCCGGTGACCAACCCTGTCCTCAGAAGACTCCCTAAGCCTTTCTCAAAGCCAGGAGTCCAGCTACAGCCTGCTGTAACACAGCAAGAGCAACAAGGACAATCCATGCTCTGCTCCCACCTCTAGGAACTGCATCCGCCACAGAGTGGCCATTCTGCTTCATGTGCTGAATTCAAGAAAAAAGAAGATAGTTTTTACCTGTTTCCTGATGTCTTCTGTCTTCAAGGACCCTGCAGCATCTAAGAGTGAAAACAGAAGTACAGTGGAGCTTCTTGTGACTGATTGTGACCCTTCTTGGCCACACCCCCTGCCTCTCTGTGGCTCTGAGGGTGACCACAGAGATTTCGATCCGGTCTTAGAGGCGGTAGACGGGACACGAGCTCAGAGTCAGTCAGGAAGGAGCCCTTGAGCACCCATGGCCAGGTCTTAGTTTCAGCATGTGGATTTTTAGTATTAGATCAGCGTTCCAGCTGACCTTGCTGCAATGGCCTCAATAATTGGTAGACTAGGTGGAAAATTAGCAAGGATCTATGAGAGCCCAACAACACCATCAACCAATGAATTTAATCAAAATACTTAGAACCATCCCCTCAACAGCAGCATAATACATATTGTTTTTCAAGAATATAGAGTACATAGCAAGATGAATTATATCTAGGACAATAAAATAAGCCTCAGAGGGGCTGGTGAGATGGCTCAGTGGTCTAAAGCACCTACTTAGAACAAGCTAAGCTAAGCAAAAGCACAGGGACTGCGGTTCAATCCCCAGTACCACATGCCAGCCAGCCCCACCCTCTGGTGGGCTGAACTGGCCACACACACACAAAATAAATAAATAAATTTTAAAATAAAATAAGCCTCAGAAATTTAAAATAATTTAAAGTGTACAGAGTATGTTTTCTAACCATAAGCGAATCAAATTAGATATGAATAATAGAGAAATAACAGGAAAATCCTTAAACACTTGAAAACTGAACAAACTACCTCCAAATAACACATGGGCCAAAGGAGAATTCTCAAAGGAAATATAAAAATATATTGAACTGAAAGAAAAATGAAAAGAGAACATACTGCTTTTGGGGGAGGATACAACTGAAGCACAAGAGGGAAATTTAAGTGCTGAATACTTTAGAAAAGAAGAAAAGACAAAGCTGGAGACAACATACTTCCTGACTTCAAAATATGCTACAGGCCAGGGAGATAGCTCGGGCATCTAAGCACCTGCCTGGCAAGTGCAAGGACCTGGGTTCAATCCCCAGTACTGCATGTCATGCTGGGCACACCATGGAGGCCACCGAGACCAAGCATGGTAGTGCACACCTGTAATCCCAGCACTGAGGAGTGTGAGACAGGAAGATCACTACAAGTTCAAGGTGCACAATGAGACCCTGTACCAAATAAATAAATGATTTTTTTTTTTTTTTTTTTTTGCAGAACCGGGGATTGAACTCAGGCCCTTGCGCTTGCCAGGGAAGCGCTTATTCCACTGAGCCATCTCACCAGCCCCCATGATTTTTTTAAAGTACAAAATATGCTACAAAGATAAAATAACCAAAGTTAATGATGTTGAGTTTTTTACATAAAAATGTATGGCATTGACATAAAAACTTACACACAGACCGATGAACAAAGTACAGAGTCCATAAGTAATTGCATGTACCTATAGCTAACTGATTTTTATCAAAGGTTTTAAGACTATTGGCAGTTATTTAAATAAGTGGTGCTAGGGAGATTAGGTTAAAAAAAAACCAGCTAAAAATGAATTAAGTGAGGGGCTGGCGAGGTAGCTCAGCAGACTAAAGCTCTTGCACAGGCAAGCTTAGGCACATACAGGGACTGAGGTTTGATCCCTGGCAATACATGTAATGCCAGCCCTGCCCCCAGTTGAGCTGACCACAATAAATACATTAATAAAAAACCAAATTAAGTGTAAGAACTGAAACCAGTTTCTGGGAGAAATGTCTCAAGACATTGGAAAGGACAAGGAACTTTTTGGACAGGGTGACAAAAGCACAGGACGCAAAGCAAAGGACAGATAGGTGAGTTTTCACCAAACTGAAAAGCTGCCCAGAAAAAAGAACCATCATCAGACTCAAGAGACAATCTGCAGCATGGGAGAAAACATTTACCAGCTATACATTTGAAGGGGTCAGTAATCAAAATATATAAGGAACTCCAGCAACTCAATAGCAAAAACAAAACAAAAAAACAAATGAGCTGACTTAAAAATGGGTAATAGAATTAAATAGATGCTTCTTAAAAAAGACATCCAGGGCTGGTGAGATGGCTCAGTGGTCTAAAGCACCTACTTAGAACAAGCTAAGCTAAGCAAAGCACGGGGACCATGGTTCAATCCCCCAGCACCACATGCCAGCCAGCCAGCCCCACCCCCTGGTGGGCTGAGCTGGCCACACACACGAAAGAAAGAAAGAAAGAAAGAAAGAAAGAAAGAAAGAAGAAAGAAAGAAAGAAAGAAAGAAAAAAAGAAGACATCCAAATGGCTAAGAGGTGTGTGGAAAATGCTCCCGTGTCACTAAGCATCAGAGAAAACGCAAATCCAAACCATAATGAGCTATCACCTCACCTCATGTCACCTCACTCCAGTAAGAATGGATATTAGGAAAAAGGACAAAAGCTGGCAATGACACAGAGGAGAGAGCGTTCACATGGGGTTGTTGGGAATGTAAGTTAGCACAACTATTGTAGAAAATAG